GAGCTCCCGTTTCTCGGTCCCTGCTCCTGCCACCCTAGCAGTTCGAAAGCACGTCAAAGTGCAAGTAGATAAATAGGTACTGCTCCAGCAGGAAGGTAAATGGCGTTTCCGTGCACTGCTCTGGTTCGCCAGAAGTGGCTTAGTCATGCTGGCCACATGACCCGGAAGCTGTACGCCGGCTCCCTCGGCCAATAAAGCGAGATGAGCGCCGCAACCCGAGTCGGTCACGACTGGACCTAATGGTCAGGGGTCCCTTTACCTTTTTACCTCACCTTTCCACATAGCCTGCATTGCAGCCAGCCGGTCCTACACGCACGTTAATATATGCTCACCTCTCCATCCTGCCATCCAGACAAGAAAGAGCATTATCGTACTTCCAGGGTGCATTTCCACTTGAGGATGTGGAGCAGAGTTGTCAACAGGCGCGGTCTGAGGGAGGGAGGAACCTACGGAGAGCCCCAAGGATCAAACAGGAATGCCACACTTGGCCCCCAGCCCTGTGACACCCCGCCACCCTTTTTCTAGAGTCACACACCATTGTGGTTCTTAAAGGTAAAGGGACCCCTGACCATTAGGTCCAGTCATGGCCGACTCTGGGGTTGCGGCGCTCATCTCGCTTTATTGGCCGACGGAACCGACATACAGCTTCCGGGTCATGTGGCCAGCATGACTAAGCCGCTTCTGACGAACCAGAGCAGCGCACGTAAACGCCGTTTACCTTCCCGCCGGAGCGGTACCTATTTATCTACTTGCACTTTGACGTGCTTTTGAACTGTGAGGTTGGCAGGAGCAGGGACCGAGCAACGGGAGCTCACCCCGTTGCGGGGATGTGAACCGCCGACCTTCTGATCGGCAAGCCCTATCTGTGGTTTAACCCACAGCGCCACACGCTGTGGTTCTTACTGGGGTCTAAAACTGAACTGGTTCCCCACACTCGGTTCCAAATACAGTCGTACCTTGAAAGTCGAACGGAATCCGTTCTGGAAGTCCCTTTCGACTTCCAAAACATCCGGAAACCAAAGCACGGCTTCCGATTGGCTGCAGGAATCTCCTGCAGCCAATCGGAAGCCGCGTTGGACGTTTGGCTTCCAAAAAAAGTTTGAAAACCGGAACACTCACATCGTTCGGGAGCTGAAACCTTCGCCAAATAAGCCGTTCGAGATCCAAGATACCACTGTACGAAGAACATAGGGGTTTGACGACCGTGTTGCCGGGTGATAAGAGTATCACCCGCTGAGAATCACAGGAAATGTTTGTCTCCAATCTCTCCTGGAAGCCCAAATCTGGAAGTCACCCTACCCATTTTCTGGCCACTCTGGCGCAGATCTGATGGAAGATGCTGCGAGCAGGTCTTGCTTGCATTCCCCTCAAGCCGCCGACAGCAGCTGTCAAAACTGAAATGCAGAAGTCCTTTGGGGGTAGGCGCTCCTAACCTTTGCGAGGGGGCCATCGTAATTTCCCTCCCCTTTACCCAGAGTCATCCGCTAATGAAGTCTGTCGTATTAAGAGCTTGAGAGAAGGGAAACCGCCCAAACGGTCGACGCAGCCATTTCGCGAGCCGGCCAAGAAGGTTCATTGGAACCCGGCTTTCCCCTTCAACAATAGTTTAGGGTTCCAAGGAATACTGCACATATGCGTGTGCAAACACACACACACACACACACACACACACGCACCCCAGAGAGCATGGGGGAAGGGGAGAGAGCAGAGCCACACGGAATTTTTTCCGTTTCGTGTAAGTAATCACAATCAAGAGAGAAGACGCAGTCCCATCTTGCATTTCCTTCCCTCAGCCAAAAGGGTCAGGAAGAGGTTATGGGAAAATATGAAACATGTGTCTCTTGGATAGAAAGATCTAACACATGCTCCCTTGCAGGAAATGTACAGGAAAGAACCCAAGAGGACGGTTGCGCGCTCGCCAAAATATTCCCATAGAAACAAACGCTAAATAACATCTCGGTTATGGATTTCGCATGTGTGTTCATCACCTGAACTGCTGGCCCCGGAATCAACTCCAAGGTTCTCTCCCCCTATCACCGCCCCACCTTCTTAAATATTTTTCTTCTCCAATGTTCTCACTGGCTGTAAATGCTTTCTGTCTAAAACAGTAACACAGAAAGGCTGATCGCCTTCCATTCCTTCCTCTCTTTGGGGCGTCTGCTAAAAACATTTCTGTTCAGACAAGCCTACCCAGATACCTAGGATGTTGCTTTGTGTTTTAATCCATTTACTGTATAGCTTGTTGTTGATTTCAACTTTTTAAAATGTTTTCAATCAGCGCTTCCCTAAATTTTCAGGCCGCCACCCCGCTTGGTTCCAGAAACTCAGGGTCCCTTGCCCAATTCGGAACAGTAACAATGGCGCATCTGTTCAAAAGTGAATTGAAATTATTGAGTTTAATGAATTCAACAAAGCTAATCAACTTGATACAGTGATACTAAAGATAAAGGTAAAGGGACCCCTGACCATTAGGTCCAGTCGTGGCCGACTCTGGGGTTGCGGCACTCATCTTGCTTTATTGGCCAAGGGAGCTGGCGTACAGCTTCCAGGTCATGTGGCCAGCATGACTAAGCCGCTTCTGGCAAACCAGAGCAGCGCACGGAAATGCTGTTTACCTTCCCGTTTACCTATTTATCTACTTGTACTTTGATGTGCTTTTGAACTGCTAGGTTGGCAGGAGCAGGGACCGAGCAACGGGAGCTCACCCTGTCGCGGGGATTCGAACCGCCGACCTTCTGATCGGCAAGTCCTAGGCTCTGTGGTTTAACCCACAGCGCCACCCGCGTCCCAGTACAGTGATACCAGTTTTTTCAAAATCTGATAGCCAGGATTTATAACTCCAGTGCTGCCCCCACACCCTGGCAATCCCATCCCGTTTGGAAGCAGGATACCACCCACTTTAGGAACCACTGCTTCAAATTATGGCTGTTGATTGTTTTATCAATAATTTGATTGTTTTATCTTTTTGTAAACCACACTTGGGGGAGGGGTTGCATATATATTTTTTATACAATCAATTGGTGCATAACTCTCATGAAATAAATAAGTGTGTGTGCATTTGGTAGGATGTGCCACTTAAATTAAATCTTCAGCTGATTAATCATGTAGGTCCTTTAAGCTGGTGAAACCGGCATGTGGATAAACCAATTGTTTATCCTATACCCTTTCTAAAAATGCTGGCTCTTTGGGGGTTTTTTATTGGGTTGTTGGCTTTGTTTTGGTTTTATGTATTTGATATTTTGTGTGAACCGGCCTGAGACCTTCAGGTGTAGGGCGGTATAGAAATTAAATAATAATAATAATAATAATAATAATAATAATAGTTCAAAAGGGGCAGAGGACACTCTCCTTATATAGATCAGGGATGCAGAATCTGAAACGCCCTGGCCCAATGTTGTAGGCTCTACAACTCCCCCTTGTCCAGTTATCAGGGCATGATGTGAGTTGTAGTTCAGCAATATTGGGGGGTTTATGTGTCCCACGGAGAGCGCAAAATATGGTCTGAAGCTCAACATCAAAAAAAACGAAGATCATGGCCACTGGGCCCATCTCCTCCTGGCAAATAGAAGGGGAAGAAATGGAGGCAGTGAGAGATTTTACTTTCTTGGGTTCCATGATCACTGCAGATGGTGACAGTAGTCATGAAATTAAGAGACGCCTGCTTCTTGGGAGAAAGGCGATGACAAACCTAGACAGCATCTTAAAAAGCAGAGACATCACCTTGCCGACAATGGTCTGTATAGTTAAAGCTATGGTTTTCCCAGTAGTGATGTATGGAAGTGAGAGCTGGACCATAAAAGGCTGATCGCTGAAGAACTGATGCTTTTGAATTATGGTGCTGGAGGAGACTCTTGAGAGTCCCATGGACTGCAAGAAGATCAAACGCATCCATTCTTAAGGAAATCAGCCCTGAGTGCTCATTGGAAGGACAGATCCTGAAGCTGAGGCTCCAAGATTTTGGCCACCTCATGAGAAGAGAAGACTCCCTGGAAAAGACCCTGATGTTGGGAAAGATGGAGGGCACAAGGAGAAGGGGACGACAGAGGGACGAGATGGTTGGATAGTGTTCTTGAAGCTACCAGCATGAGTTTGACCAAACTGTGGAGGCAGTGGAAGACAGGAGTGCCTGGCGTGCTCTGGTCCAGGGGGTCATGAAGAGTTGGACACGACTAAACGACTAAACAACATGTGTCCCACAGGTCCCTTCTATACCTGGTGCACCCACTTTTTTTATTAACAACCTAGCATTTCCCATCACTAGGGACTCTTAGAGCAAAGGCCCTCATCTATACATTTCTGCAGATTCTAATGGGCGCCTAATGCAGAACTGCAACACCTTTCTTTCAGAGAAATCCCTGTGGAATAACCAGCAGACCCGTCTCCCCCCCCTCACGGGGTGCGCAGGCCTGCACTAAAAAGCGATGATGCAACCCCTCTTCTTTCCTAACTACCCTGATCTGAGTAGTACAAGAAGCTATGGATGGACAAATCTGTCAGTTTTGGGTTCTCCCAGTTTCTCAATTTACCGCTCTTACCGCCATCATTTCTGCATCAGCTGTAAGATTTAGCGCTCACATTTTTGCGTGGACTTTGACACCAAACGCACACTTCCTAGAATCACTATCCTGCATTATTATTTTTTACGTCACTCTTACACATTCATGCGTTCTCAGGCACATTTCCCCCTAATATATGCATTTTATGGTTTTAAGAGAACCGCCCTGCAAAACGTGGAGAGCTTCGGCTCTCAAATGAGTCAAAGGAGGTGCATTTAACCTCCGTGTGTCGTTTCAGGAAGGGCAAATCAGGTAGATTCGGTTTGAAATGAGAAACAAACCACATTTCTCCCCCATCCCTGGTGGGAATGCACAACGAGATTTAACTAGTTGGTGTAATTCTTGGATACAACACAGCGTTTCCATTTCTGGACAGCGTAAGAAGCTAAGAGCATTTTAAATACATATTTGTGTGTGTGTGTGTGTGTGTGTGTGTTTTCTTACCTCAGCTACCAACAGGGGGAGTTCGCCCTGGGGCAACAGGCAACATTACCTGTAGGAAAGAGAGAGAAAGGGGTCATTGGTCATTGGTTTTGATCAGGGATAAATAGTATGAATAAGCAAACCCTTATCGCTTCCTCTCCATCATTTACCCCTCTACCCTGCTCTGCTAAAATGGGGGAGGGGGGGAGAGACTTGGGAACCCAGGGCCACAAATGGGCCCTCAGTTTGATTTCATGCAGGTGAAGCGGGGGGGGGGGGTCGAATCCTGAAAGGAAGCTTTTTTGGGGGGGGGTGCTGAAAAAGAAATGGGGGGGGGGAGAGAGAGAAACATTGAGAGGGGGGTTGAAAGAGAGAAAGGGTGGGGTCCCATCTCCCCATTCTTGATTCTGGCTCTCTACAGTACAGTGGTACCTTGGTTCTCAAACTTAATCCATTCCGGAAGTCGGTTCCAAAACCAAAGCGTTCCAAAACCAAGGCACGCTTTCCCATAGAAAGCAATGGAAAACGGATTAATCCGTTCCAGTCTTAAAAAAAGATTCTCTCCCTCTACCCTAAAAGAAATGCCTATTGAGAAAACCAGCCCCCTTTTGCCTTCCAGAGGGGCGACCCAGGCAACAGGAGGGCAGTATGCAGAGGGATATGGATAGAGGCGTACACACAGGATGATCACTAAATCACAGTCCATCCCTCGCCCATCAATTTGCTCAACACATCTCCCTGCTTCCCCAACCTCTGATAGAGAGATCTGACTTGGAGCTTGTTATGGCTGTTTCGTTTGCTAGCTTTGTCAGGTAATGGTGGTCATAAAAGGATGTCATATAGAGGAGGGAGAAAGGTTGTTTTCTGCTGCTCCAGAGAAGCGGACACAGAGCAATGGATCCAAACTACAGTGGTACCCCGCAAGACGAACGCCTCGCAAGACGGAAAACCCGCTAGACGAAAGGGTTTTCCGTTTTGGAGGCGCTTCGCAAGACGAAGTTCCCTATGGGCTTCCTTCGCAAGAGGAAAGCCCATAGGGAAATCTCCGGGACAGCGGGGAAGCGCCTCCGCTGTCGCCCGCCAGCATTTTAAAAAGCCCCGGGACAGCAGGGAACTTCTCCGCTGTCGGGGCGATCTTAAAATGCTGGCGTGCGGGAGCGAAGCCTCCGCCGTCGCCCGCCAGCATTTTAAAAAGCCCCGGGACAGCGGGGAACTTCTCCGCTGTCCGGGGCGATCTTAAAATGCTGGCGTGCGGGAGCGAAGCCTCCGCCGTCGCCGCAGCATTTTTAAAAAAGCCCCGGGACAGCGGGGGACTTCTCCGCTGTCCGGGGCGATCTTAAAATGCTGGGCGGCGGGAGCGAAGCCTCCGCTGTCGCCCGCCAGCATTTTTAAAAGCCCCGGGACAGCGGGGGACTTCTCCGCTGTCTGGGGCGATCTTAAAATGCTGGCGTGCGGAGCGAAGCCTCCGCTGTCGCCCGGCCAGCATTTTAAAAAGCCCGGGACAGCGGGGAACTTCTCCGCTGTCGGGGCGATCTTAAATGCTGGCGTGCGGGAGCGAAGCCTCCGCTGTCGCCGCCAGCATTTTAAAAAGCCCCGGGACAGCGGGGAACTTCTCGCTGTCGGGCGATCTTAAAATGCTGGCGGGCGGGAGCGAAGCCTCCGCTGTCGCCCGCCAGCATTTTAAAAAGCCCCGGGACAGCGGGGGACTTCTCCGTCGCGGGGCGATCTTAAAATGCTGGCGTGCGGGAGCGAAGCCTCGCTGTCGCCGCCAGCATTTTAAAAAGCCCCGGGACAGCGGGGAACTTCTCCGCTGTCGGGGCGATCTTAAAATGCTGGCGGGCGGGAGCGAAGCCTCCGCTGTCGCCCGCCAGCATTTTAAAAAGCCCCGGGACAGCGGGGAACTTCTCCGCTGTCGGGGCGATCTTAAAATGCTGGCGGGCGGGAGCGAAGCCTCCGCTGTCGCCCGCCAGCATTTTAAAAAAGCCCCGGGACAGCGGGGAACTTCTCCGCTGTCAGGGCGATCTTAAAATGCTGGCGGGCGGGAGCGAAGCCTCCGCTGTCCCCGCCAGCATTTTGAAAAGCCCGGGACAGCGGGTGACTTCTCCCCTGTCCGGGGCGATCTTAAAATGCTGGCGTGTGGGAGCGAAGCCCTCCGCTGTCGCCCAGCATTTTAAAAAGCCCCGGGACAGCGGGGGACTTCTCCGCTGTTCCGGGGCAATTTAAAAGCCCGGACCATGCCCCGATGCCGGGCGGCGGACGGGAACGCCTCCCCCCACCACCCGCCATCGGGACCATGCCCTGATGCCGGTGGACGGGCGGGAACGCCTCCCCCCGCCGCCCGCCATCGGGACCATGCCCCGATGCCGGGGGCGGGGCCGCGAAGCCTGGGCGCGCTGATCTCAGCGCGCCCAGGCTTCGGCATGCCGGCAACTCTCCGCAAGCTGCGGCAGCGCTGCCGCTGCTTGCGGAGAGGTCCGCGAACCCTGGGCGGACATCTTTTGAAGGCAGGGGGGGAGCAAAGACTTTTGCCCCCGCCAGCCTTCAGAAGAGGTCCTGGACCTCTTCTGAAGGCCAGCGGGGGGCAAAAGTCTTTGCTCCCCCCTGCCTGCCTTCCCGGGAGAGCGGAGAAACACAGCACGTTTCTCCGCTGTCCCGGAGGGCTTTTGAATGCAGGCGGGGGGAGCAAAGACTTTCGCCCCCCCCAGCCTTCAGAAGAGGTAGGGGGACAGACTGTCCCCGGACCTGGTCTGAAGGCGGTTTCCCTAGGAACGCATTAATTGATTTTCAATGCATTCCTATGGGAAACCGTGCATCGCAAGACGAAAAACTCGCAAGACGAAGAGACTTGCGGAACGAATTAATTTCGTCTTGCGAGGCACCACTGTACAAGAAAGAAGATTCCACCTAAACATTAGGAAGAACTTCCTGACAGTAAGAGCTGTTCGACAGTGGAATTTGCTGCCAAGGAGTGTGGTGGAGTCTCCTTCTTTGGAGGTCTTTAAGCAGAGGCTTGACAACCATATGTCAGGAGTGCTCTGATGGTGTTTCCTGCTTGGCAGGGGGTTGGACTCGATGGCCCTTGTGGTCTATTCCAACTCTATGATTCTATGATCCCCATCCAGCCACAGTTCTAGAATAACAGGTTTGCAATACGCCTTGCCAGGTGTGTTTTTTTAAAAATGAGTTGGGTAGGCTGGAAAGTTTTCTGCTCCTGAATGCTTTTAGACCCAACCCAACGCAAATTAAGGCCCAGAGATTTTGATTTTATTTTTTAAGCACCTAAAAACCTTTGACAAACAGCAAGGTTGTCTGCTAAGCAAGCATGTTGAAATTCGATTTCGCTAACGTGTCACTGGGATGTGGGTAGCACAGAGCCTAGGACTTGCTGATCAGAAGGTCGGCGGTTCGAATCCCCGCGACGGGGTGAGCTCCCATTGATGGGTCCCTACTCCTGCCAACCTAGCAGTTCAAAAGCACGTCAAAGTGCAAGTAGATAAATAGGTACAGCTCCGGCGGGAAGATAAATGGCGTTTCCGTGCGCTGCTCTGGTTCGCCAGAAGCGGCTTAGTCATGCTGGCCACATGACCCGGAAGCTGTACGCCGGCTCCCTCGGCCAAGAAAGCGAGATGAGCGCCGCAACCCCAGAGTCGTCTGCGACGGGACCTAATGGTCAGGGGTCCTTTTACCTTTACCTTTACCGTGTCACTAACCAACGCAACCCCTGCCCTTCTGCAAACCATTTCAGGCATCAAATGCAACTCGTCCCCAACACACAAACCCCAACAACCGCAGAGTTTCAGGAGCACACCATGCATTCTATTTTGCAAGCTGGAACAGATACTCTAAGTGTGAAGGGTTCAGGCACCGCGCAAATGATCTGAAGGAGCGTCTCCACCCCCATCGTTCTGCCCGGACGCTGAGGTCCGACGCTGAGGGCCTTCAGGCGGTTCCCTCATTGCGAGAAGCAAAGCTACAGGGAACCAGGCAGAGGGCCTTCTCGGTAGTGGCGCCCGCCCTGTGGAACGCCCTCCCACCAGATGTCAAAGCGATAAACAACTACCTGAAATTCAGAAGACAGCTTAAGGCAGCCCTGTTCAGGGAAGTTTTTAATGTGTGATATTTTAGTGTATTTTTGGTTTCTATGGAAGCCGCCCAGAGTGGCTGGGGAAACCCAGCCAGATGGGCAGGGTACAAATAAATTATTATTATTATTATTATTATTATTATTATTATTATTCATTAAAGCCACCATTTTCAACTGCAGATATGCAGGCGTGATAACCAGGTTAAGGCTCGGGCCTTGCCAGCGTGCATTCTGCAGATGACAGCCGCGATTTACACAAAGGTTTGGCACAAAACCGAACCACATTTATTTCCTGACTGTCCTCAGGGGAGTTTGGAGTGGCACAAATAGGGGTCATATCCTTGCTGTGCTTCCGCTGGCAAGCTGAAGACCATTTTCCCCCAACAGGCTTTCGGGAACTGATTGTTTTCAAGGAAACGGCTTTTAATAGTGCTGCTGTTTTTACTATCTATATTTTAGCATACAGTGGTACCTTGGTTCTCAAACGCCTTGGTATTCAAACAACTTCAAACCCAAACTCCGCAAAGAAGTGTTCCGGTTTGTGAACATTTTTTGGAAGCCGAACGTGCTTCGTTTTGAGTGCCACACTTCCGTTTTGAGTGTTACGCTGAGGTCTGTCTGTTTTTGCTATTTATTTTGCCTTTCTGTTTTTGAGGCTCTCTTGTTTTTGTGACAGTTCAGCTACTGATTGTGTGACTCCAGTACATTGTTTATTGCTTTCATTTTATGGATCAATGGTCTCTTTAGATAGTAAAATTCATGTTGAATTGCTGTTTTAGGGGTTGTTTTTAAAAGTCTGGAATGGATTAATCCATTTTGCATTATTTTCTATGGGAAAGTGTGCCTTGGTTTTGGAATGCTTTGGTTTTGGAAGAGACTTCTGGAACGGATTAAGTTTGAGAACCAAGGTACGCTGTATATGTTCTCTTACTGTTTTATTTCTATTATGGTTTAATTACTTTTTTTTACTATTATCTTTTATTTGT